CCTGCCACTCCAAGGATACTGCAGCCCCAAGAGCAGGTGCTGCAGGGCAGGCTTAGACCAAAGCCTGCACCTTCGTTAGCTCACCAGTGTCTGCTTGCCAACAAGGTGGCCATGATGTGGCCCTGGCAGGAGGAAGAGATGACAGACACTGGGGTCTGTGGGAATGAGTAATGGGGATTGGGGTCAGGGAGCGGTTGCTGGAAGGCCGGTCAGACAAGGGGACGTGGTTGCAGGGGCTGACACTAACGTGGTGACTGTTGTCTGGATGTCCTGTGGTGGAGAGTAGATTGAGATCCAGACATGTTCGGCATGTATGAGCAGGATCCTCCTATGTGCTTGACTGGGTGCAGTGGGAGCCGTCAGCAGTTGAGGGGGAAAAAATACTGAAGAACTTAGAGCAGATGAGAAAGGAGTTAAAAACAAGTGTGAAAAGTTGGATCATGGTACTTGGTGTCTTGAAATGAAGCAGGATTTTTCTGGAAGGCTTTAGTCACCTGGGAAAGAAGGATCGAGCAGCTGTGTGGGAGGCAATTTGCAGGCAAGTGTACTCCTCTGCAGTAGATGGGTACATTTTAATGAGGTAAGTATATTTGCTCTGTTTTATAGGATTTGCTTTGGACTAGAAGTCTGGAAGTCATTTTAAATAGACTGCTTTGAGATATAATGGTCAGATGGAAATATTTGAAGCATATAATATGGAAGCCCTGTATTTACAACATATTTGTAGGGTCTCAGAAGCTGACCTGAAAAGATTGCCTCTTTTCCATAAGAGTAAATAAAGCTCATACAGAGGATATAAAAACAGAAGCAAAGTTAAAAACTGCTGTAGCTATGCAATTTTATTTATTTTTTAATTATTTTTTAAATTTACTTTATTTGCATCTGCAGCTGTCTCTCAATCCATCCCATTCCACAGGAAGGGAAGCTTTCATGCTGGCATCTTTCTCCTCTTCTTGTTCCCTTCCCGTAGGCTCATGGGGCTGAATGGGGCCATTTTTTAGATGCAGGTTCCCCTCAGAGGTGGCTTTCCAGGCAGATGGGATTTCCCACCTACTGATGGCAAGGAGGGGAGGGATGGGCATGCCATGCCTGGCCCCTGCACCTGCAGCAGTGAGCGCCTGCGGGCGGAAGGGCTGAGGCTGAACACTGCTGTACCTGCGCCCCTCGAAGTGGGTGGGAGAGCCGGGTACTTCTGCATCGGCACCCTGTCGCTTATCCAGAGCTCGCTCTTTCCATTGAGAAGGTGATGCCTTTCTTTGAACAAAGTTGCCAGGAAGTGAGATGCGTTCAGCTGATGCCCTAAGTATCAGTCAAGCATAAGCTTCAAGTTTGAGGAATGTTCCATGTTTTCTGGTGTTTTATCATTTTGACTTTTCCAGTTCTTTCTTTTTCTTGTAGTCACACTCTGTAGGTGTCCACTTTCTCCTTTTACTTATTTAGTTTGAAATCTTGTCCTTTCTTGAGCTTGTTTTTGTTTTCCTCCTGCTGTTGGAACAGAGAGTTTATAATAGCCGTAGCATAACTTCAGAAGGTGGATCTGAAATATTTTAAACAATCATTACATAAGTTATTAAAATAACAAAGACAAAATAAACATATCCTCACAACGGTGAAGAAATAAATTCCAGGGGCAGTATAAACATCTGCCAATCTCTAGTGGTGCTTTCTCTCTTCTTCCAAGACTTTCTGTGAAGGTTTTTCACATCTGCTTTAACATCTCCTTTTCTCTAAAGTTTTGAAAACTTCTTAAAGGATGGATTTTTCTCTCTCTCTACATTGTGCACAATATAGTGGAAAGCAAAAAATATTTCTGGGGTTATTCAGGACCTCTGTAGCCATGTTCAAAGCTTAATTAAATAATCAGTACTAGTTTGTTTTGCAGAACTTGTCTTGTGTTTTACCTCTCCCTGAAAACATCACCAGCAGATCACAGGTAGTTGCTGAGGAGCTGAGTGTCACCTTTTGGGGCACCTCACAGGGGTGATGTGTGAGGCTGAGAAACCCATACAAAGTAAAAGTGAACTCACTGCTGGCAAGAGCTTTTACTACGAACTTTGTCTTTTGAGAGAAGTTTTTAATCCTTAAAAGGTGTGGGGAGGGACTGGCAAACAATTTCAGGAAGTTTCAGAATTAACATATTTACACAACATTTTGACAGGATTATGAAGCGAATCTACAGTTTGGCTCTGTGTAAATTGTGTGAATAATTATTCACTCAATTTACACAGAGCCAAAGTGAACTGTGGAAAAGCCATTTGTTAGGTTTTGCAAATTTATGCCTGACAAAAGGACTCTGATGATTTAGTAGCTGTGTTAAGGTGTTAGGAGATTATTAATAACTTCTGTGTTTAAGTTGACATACTACTTTAACAATTTGATTTGAAGGAGGAAAGACTCAGTCATATAAAGGCAATATTAATTTGCCTAATCATTCTTCATTTTGTTTTAGAAGAATTTAGCTGAAGAAACTCAGATACAGTTTGACTAACCAGTAATGATGTAACAGAATGGTCTCCTAGCTTTAAAAAGAACTGTAGCGTGTGAGGGTCTACAGCAGCAACTGGAAGAGCCAACACACTCTGCATGTGTGCGTTCTATACAATGGAGCTGTGGCTTCACTGTCACCAAGGATGACTTTAATTCCTCTTTCAATGTCTGCCAGCAGATATTTCTGGATTGGGTTGCCTGGGATAGCAGCTAGGAAAAGTTCGTTGTACCAGGAGGCTGCTTGGAGGAAGCAGTGTTGAGGAAAGACTATTAGTCTTGCAATCAAATTACTATATTGCATGAGAAAATACTGAGCAGCAGAAATTTGTGTTTTTCAGGAAAAATTACACCATCTTTTTAAAGTTACAGACTGGTTCTTTCTCTAGGAAGCTAATGTTTATAAGCTGAGCAGCTTTTTGCATCACTTCTATGCCTTTTCCATAACAGAAGCATAAATTTGGTTAAAAATTAAGTGAGCATGTTTCTAGGTAACATTTATACTTACAGTAAATTTTATATATGGACTAATTTTGAAGACAGTCTTCAGTACATGTCATGTACTGGAAACTGTCAGCAGCCATATGTTCAGTATATTTTACTGCAATTTTGCTGATAAATGTTTGTTGCTTTCTTTAAAGGTGTAATCTATCATTCTACAAAAGTATAAAGCATGAAGGTTGGGAGGAAGGAGCAACACATATAGATTGGGGATTGAAAAGACTGAAAAATGTTCTCTTATTTGTTGCATTTCCAATTTTTCAGGAATTCTTTGAACATGCAAAAAAGCTCTGGGATGATGAAGGCGTAAAGGCATGCTTTGAGAGGTCAAACGAATATCAACTGATTGACTGTGCACAGTAGTAAGTATTTCTTTTTACAGAATTAATAGCCAAGAATTGCCTATAACAAGTTAGAAAATATATTTATATTAGCCAGATCTGGGAGTTGTGCAGTGCAGCAATTAACATTTTAATTCTCTGTATAGGCTGAGCATGTATAGCAAAAATAATTGATTTTTTTATCGTAGTTTGCCATTATTATAGAACTCAATATTCTGCCTCAAATATTTAACAGATAATAAAGATGAGTATGCAAAAATCATATTAAATAGTTTTAAGCGTCTTCGCTCCATTTGAAATAGTTTTACATAAAACCATTTCAATTGAAACTAATAAGTCTAAAAAATGTCAAGCCAGTCTAAGGAAAATGCTTTGTTTTACATTCTGAGACCCAGACAGTGCTGAAATTGCTCTGTGTTTTCACATTCCATTAAAGCATTAGAGATTTTTACTTAACCGAATGCATACCTGCATTAACAATATATTTTCTCGGGCAGGGTTGAAATTATGAGTGGTATGTCATTAACAGTAGTAGTACATCTGGTATTTTCTCCTGCGTATACATCAAGTGAAGCAGTGCATGTGTGCGTAACACAGTTAGAATCCTTAAACAGGTTAATCTGATTGGAAATGTTCTGAAAAGAGACACACGTAGTAGATTGTGAAGGTGCAAATCATAAATATATATACTACACTGATGAAAACTAATTAATCGGGAAATAGTCCATTAACATGCCAGGGCTACAAAAACTCATCTGTCCTCGGTAATAGCCCAGCTCTGAATTATACTTTGACCAAAAATACACATTTCATGTGAACTGCTATTGCGAAAATGTATACTCTTAGAGTTGCTATATGATTTAGGGTTTTCAGAGAACATACTCCAGTGTGTTACGATCTGTCTAATGTGCGGTATGGTCAGCAACAATGCCACAAGTCTGTTGTAGCACTCAGTGTTTTGTTTTTCTGTCCTCTCTGCTCTCGGTGCTGAGGCTGAAGCAGAGGAAACGGGCCATGTTGCTAAAGGACTTGTCACGCTTCTGCTGCAATGGGGAACTTTGGTGCTGCGGGTTATAGTGTCTTTTCCCTCTTTACAGGCTATTTTGGGGAAATAAAAAGATCCTGTAATGACTCATCAGCACATGGAAGCAAAGGAAAATTACATATGTGTAGGAAGGAACTCATTTGACCTTAGTGGACTGAATTTACCAAAACTTGGGCATTTGCTCACAAGTTCAGAGTGGCTAGAAATGAAAGCGGTGGTTGTAAATGAAAAAAACCGAGAAAGTTGTCCTACATTGTGATCAGTCGTTTTCCCCTCTGCCGCCACCCACCAGCACCACCATGGTACACATCTGAGCTATGTCATGCTTGCTGACAAGTTCAGACTGACTGTTTATGGTATCTATTAATGCACTCAAATAAGACATCAGGCCAAGAAAATAGAATAATAACAGGTTTAAAATAAATTAATGTAAAACTTACTTTACTGATGAGTAAAGGTTAAAGTGTCACCCAGTCCTGCTTCGGAAAACGATGCTGAAAGGACCAAGTGGAAAAGGAAGGCACTTAATTATCGTATTAACAGCACTGTGCATTCTCTTAAAAAATGGTGCCTATCTACAGGCTTTGACAAGGAGAAGAATGTTAAGTCTTGTGTTATGTCCAAAACCAAAACACAAATAGGAGAAAAAATGGGTCTAGAATTAAGTCCACTGTCCTGAAACATAAAACTAAATCCTACTACCTTTTTTCCTAAAAGCTTGAAGGAAGATTCTGGGGCTTTTTTCTCTGTATCTTCCTTCCATATCTTCTGACTTGCTTTTTCTTTTTTCTGATATTATTTATTATAGTAGTAAATATAACACTTGCATAATTCTTCACCTTTAAGACACTTTATGAAATAGTATTTGATACTTAAATATCCCTTGAGCGTATCTGTGCTTTACATTTAATGATCTACCTGAAAATGTAGTAACTAAGTGATTTACCCATGTCTATAAGCCTTCAGTCTTAGAGCAGAGTCTTGAAACTCAGAAATAGCTGTGTCATTGATCTGATCAAACAGCCTTTTTCTGAGGGATATTGGTGATTTAAAATGGTGAAGCGTAATCTTAACAGAAAGAAGATACTAAAAATACACTCGACTTTTATCTGCTCCTCCATCATTCCTTGAAACTTAAAATGATACCAATTGAGTCCATGAAAAGGAAATTTATGAGTTGCTCCATCTTTGCTGCACTCTATTTATATGTTGCACAACGACAGTAGTTGCTTTACCCAGAATATTTCTGTGCTTGCGCTGGATGGACCTTACTCAGAGTGGTGGGGTCATGTCTGCCTTGTAACTGACAGAGAGTGTGAGACTAGGTCAGAAATACAGTTCTAATGCACATGTATATTTTCTTATGTGCACTTAGAAAATACTAACTGTGAGGGTGCTGTGTTTCTGACTCAGCAGGAGCAGATCACATTTCTCTCGGGACCTGTGCTTGGTCACCTTTAATTGGTGAAGGTAAAAAGGGAAGGAGTGTAATGCTGATACACATGTTTACTGTGGGATTTTGAAACATCTGCAGTGTTTTCGTTACACTGGCTTTGGGAGATAGCATCCCACACCATCAGCTAAATCCTAATCTTTTACTTGATAGTGAAGGAAGAACATTATCAGTAGGTCACCACTGTTTTCTCTGTTTAAAAAAAAAAAGGCAAAACAAAAAAAATCCCAATATGTGTTAAAAATATCATTGGATTACAAGTTGAGTGGCTGACTTAAAATACTGAAAAGCATTATTAGCAAATTATAAAGTCAGCAGCCCAACTTGCTGACTGTTAAATGAGTTACAAATAGTGTATTTTTAAATAGTTTGATTTGGCTACAGTACAGAGCTTCTGTATTTTTAAAACTTAACCTAATTTTCTTTATTACTGTGGGAGAAATATTTTTCTGGCAACAGAGGTAGTAGAAAGACACAAAGGCAAGTGTTTTGTTTACATGAGTTCTGAAAGTTGTTTTTCTTTGATTTTTAATGCCCTTTTAAATTACCACGGTACTGTTCCTTCATGGAAGTGAGGATGAGGGCCTGCCTGTCAGACTATTTTAATATTCTTACATGATTCTCCGTGTATCTACAGTTCTTCGAAGTGTCATGTTGGTGCATCATGTGATATTTGTAACAAATGTGAATCTGTTACCAAGCCGGAGGTCAGACCTTGTGGTCTGACAGTGGTAAATGTATCATAAGCAAAGATCTTAATTGTTCTTTATCACTAACTACAAAGATATTTGTGTAACTCTTGGAAGGGGAAGTATTGCATGGTCATCAACCATATCTTTTGTGTAATGACCTTCATATATTTCTTTGAGATAGGTATAGTAAAACTGGCAGGTTGTTGTTTTCCCTGTCTTCTGATTTAATATTTCTTTCAAGTTAAATTTCAAGTTTAATTTCAAAAATTATATTTAATTTGAAAAGTTAATTTCACTTAGTTGTATCCTCATTTGACTTACGTAGATTTCAGCAGGTTGATTTTGTTTATGATGATCAATCTTATACCTTGCTTTGGTTGACTTTTAACTTATTTTGAACTACTGTGATCATGCCCATATTCACATACTTTATATTCAGGAAATTCTAGGTCTGTAAGAGGCTGTCTTGGCATTGAACTTTCTAGTACATAATAGACCAAAATATGTTCTTTAAAAATTTCTTATAATTCTGGAATGGTTTTCTAAAAGCTAAATAGTTTCTTATAAGATGAATGCAACTGTTTTTTAATATTTCAGTTTCTTCCTACTAGTTATCAAATGCCTACATTTTATTGTGTCCATGGAAGGGAACTGTAAAGCAAACTTCTATGAATGTAGAACAGATCAAAACAAATAAAGGTCCAGGTATAATGGCCTTCATTTTAAAAAAGACACAGAAAAAGAACTGATGAGCTGATTATATGAGCTGATTTATAAACTTGATAAATGTAAGTAATTTATTTGGCAATGAAGAGGTATAAAATTTCTTTTTGAGTAAGAGCATAACATGAGGTAGAGTTATAGGTTGTAACCATCTGTTTGATGTTATATATGTAAGTGGGTTGACTTCCCCCTACTGCTGGTGAAAGAGTTTCTGTATTATAAGCCCCCTCTCTTCACTGCAAACCATACCACATGCTAATTGGTGACTGCTCTAGCAATCCCAGAAAAGCCACAATCCCAGAAAAAGAAGTTGTTTTTGTTTGGAGATCTAACATGTGCCCACAGGCAGCAGTGAAGTTGAAGACCTTTACAGAACATCAGTTGTCACTGGGGGATTATCAGGCACCCCCAGTCAGGTGACGTCCATCCATTGTTTTGATGAAGAGGCGAGTTATGTTATTCAGTTATTCAGTTGATTGAGTAAAATTAGTTGATAGGGGATATTTACAGTGCTTAGAGACTGTCAGAGAAAAGGTGGTGGTTTTTTATCAGAAGAGTAGACAAGCAGAACTATGTACTTCCGAAAAGGGAGAAAAAGACAAAACCAGAACATCCAGTTATCTTTTTAGGTCACACACAGTTTGCTCAAGGCCTCATTGTTAGGAGAAAAAAAATAACTACTTTCAGGTTTATTGGAAGGTTCCAGAGTTGAATTTTGTAACATTGCACGCATATGAAATAACTGTGTGTGTGTGTGCGCATGGGTGTCCCTAGCTGTAAGGGTTGTACTTCAGCTCACTGAGTTCCTTGCAGCAGGAAGTAGACCAGGGATTTAAGAGAACTCTGCCTTCAGCCGATATTTTATCCCAGTTTGTCTATCAGTCTTTTTTCCCTGATAAAATACGGCACTTCTGATATACTTAAATGTGAAGGCCTAAATTGGTCTCTATGCAAACATCTGGGCTAATAAAACGTAATTATGCAAGTTCTCAGGAAAGCAAACACAAGGGATGTGAGCTTGGCCAAAGAAAATTGATTTTATATTTGAGCTAATATACATGATATACATAGAAAAGACACACCTTGAGTTAGTTTTCTTCGCAGTTCT